ACTTCATGTAAAGCCGCTGCGCGCTAGATGAGGGAGGATACCCCTAGGAGCAGAGAGTAGAGTACGTCGCGGAGAGGGACTACAATAGCCTGAGATTCCCTGGTCCTTCCAACAGAGCTCCCTCGCGCTCCTCTCTGGCTGCTCGGCCGTGCCCGACGCTCCGCCGCCCGCCCCTCCGTAGGCTCATGCCTCTCGATCATTCAGACTCTCTCTCTCTCTCTCGCTCTCTCTCGCTCTCTCTCTCTCTCTCTCTCTCTCTCTCTCTCTCTCTCTCTCTCTCTCTCCTCTCCTCTCCTCTCTCTCCTCTCTCCTCTCTCCTCTCTCCGCTCTCCTCTCTCTCTCTTCTCTCCTCTCCTGCCTGGCTGCATGCCTGGCTGGTTCTCGAGGTGGACCACCACCAAGAACTGGCATGCTATCTCCAGACCTCCTTCCTATAATGACGCGATTCTTTTTGTGTGTGCCAGTGCGCGCCAGTCCCGTGCTTTTGTCGACGTCGTAAAATTCTTTTCCCAGTGTAAAGAAAGAAAGAAAACAGGCAAACCAAACGAGGGATGGGAGGAGGACAGGGTCCCCACCTGCACGAGCAGGATCTTGGATGGAAGGACGATCAGGGACACAGGGGAAAGGGGGAACGGGAGCGCATCGCGACACGGAGGGGGCTGGGCAGGGTTCACCCACGCGACAGGGTCCCAGGGATTCCTCTCCCGTAGAGGACGGGTTGCAGCACCCGGAGGGGCAGGCGCGGGCGTGCACCTGCACTTGGAGCACTTGGAGTGCGGTCATTAACCTCACGCCCAGGACCGGGGAGAATGGTGAGAATCTTTTTCTCTCTGCCAAAGCAACAAACACGGGGAACCTCCCTCTCCGTCAGAGTTCGCTCCCACTGAGGCCACCGCTTTTTATTTCGCAGAGGCCCCTTATTGTATAAGGGAGAGCGAGACTCATCATTTAGAGAATGTGGGAGGACCGAGCCCGGGACCGCGTGAGCGTTGCATTTCTGCCCTCGCTCACACGCGCGCTTAGAGTTATGCGGCGCTACGGTGGAACTCGTGTTTAATTGAACAAGGCTGACCCCTACCCCTCTCGGTGGGCTTGCAGGTAGGGGGTTCGGGTAATAAGGTGCATCGGGGTCGGCGGGCGTGAACTGGAGTGATACCCGCTTCGGCCGTTTAGTTGCGAACTCCCTTTCCCCTCGGCGGCCTTTTGTCTTGCCCCGGCTGGGTGTGTCGGCTGCCGTTCCTTCGTCCGGCTGTTCGTACCTGTTCGTGCGTCAGGTGTGGGTGTGTTTTGGGCAGTGCCGTTCCTGCGTCTGGCTCTGGGAACCTGTTCGTGCGAGAGGTGGGTGTTCGTGTGTGGGATTTCTACCGTTGAGCTGTGCCGTTCCTGTGTCCGGCTATTCGTACCTCTTCGTGCGGGAGGTGTGCGGGTTTTTTTTTGGGGGGGGGGGGGGGTGCGGTGCCTGTTTGCTCTAACTCGGTTGAGGATTGGGGTAGTCAGGGGGAGTTCTGGGAGGAGGGACCGTGGTTTCCGTTGAAGTCGTTCCAGACGTTGTGTGATTTGAAGACGTCTATCAGTTTCGTGTGGAGTTCGATGGAGCCTGTTTCTTTGCAGAGCTCTCCGAATGGCGCGTAGGTGTCTGACAGTGACTGGGGAAGGTGGTAGACTAGGTCGAGTGGTCTGTTCGGGTTTTGTGCCAAAAGCAACGACTGCAGCGACTCGCGCTGCGCCAATGAGTGAGCACACCACGCCCGCCGGCAAGCGAGGGAGCAACTCGAAGCGCGCACGAACGTCGTCATCCCGCGCCTCGCGCGTGGGCACCGGCACGCCGCACGTCCTCGAGGAGGCGACGGGCGATTTCAGCGCCGACTACATCACGGTGGGCGTGCTCGGGCGCGGCTCCTTTGCCGAGGTGAACCTGCTGCGCCACCGCGTCTCTGGCGAGCTCTTCGTGCTCAAGACGTGCTGCAAGCTCGACGCGCCGTCGTACTCCCACCTGCGCGCCGAGGCGACGGCGATGGCGGCGTTCCGGTCAGCCGACGCGCCGCACCCGCTCCTCGTCTGCCCGCTGGCGTGCT